GCTTCTGGCGCGGTGGACGGGGCTCGCTCTCTCTCTCTCTCTCTCTCTCTCTCTCTCTCTCTCTCCCCCTCTGTGTCTCTTAGAAGCTTCGGATCCTCTCCCGGTTCGGGGCCGGGACCTTTGCTAGGAGCAAAGAGAGCTCTGGCTGCTCTCTGCTGATGGCCTTGTTGTGACATCGCGCTGGGCCCACGCCCGGCGGAGGAACGGCACAGCTCACACCCTCAGCCAAAGTGCATGGAGCCCATCGAATTCTGGTCCGGCGCAAGCAAACTGGCGACCGGAGGGAGGAAGAAGCAGCTCGCCCTGAAAAAAAAAACTCACAACACCACGGATCATGGCAGCAACGTTGCAAGTTGCACCCACCTCGAAACCCTGGCAAGCCATCACATGCAGAGTGTCTTGCTGGCTTTGCGATGGAGAACTCACGGCTATACACGGATAGCAGCGCCCTCTTTGCGTGCGGTGAAAGGAGGAAGTCAGCTTACTCTGCTTGGACTGTCAAGTTCTCGTTTATGGTTTTGCAAGCTTGAGCTCCAAGATGGCATGTCATCAAAGTTGCAAACCACTTCATGTAGCAATTGGCCTCGCAAGGGAATCAAAAGTCTCCGCCTGCGTGCCGCCCTTGTTTCCCACGAGGTTGGCAAATCCCGTCGCGACCTCCGCAAGTCCGACATGGGCTCTTGAGCGAAAATGCTGCCTCGCGCCTGACAGGTCCGTGGTTCCCAGCAATATCTCCAGAGCGACCGGTGAATGAAAACCATGACGTGGATAGCACCTGGTAACTGCACAAACGATTGGAGTAGCTGCAAAAGTCAAGGCTGAGCTCTGCACTCATATTGTGCGACCCAATCATGCGAAAATCCTGTCGAGACCACTGCACTGTCGTCGCCGGCGCAACCTTACTGTCTGAGTCCTCACCGAGATGTTCGCACATTTGGCGCTCCCATCTCGCCTTGGCAACTTGTGCTGCCGGCAGTCGCTGGCACCAGCTGTTTGGCTATGCGGGCCTTGCTGGACCATATAAGCGACTTCTCTATTGTTCGTTCACACTCGCAGGTGCCAACGACATAGATGTGATGCCTCAGGACAACTCCCACACGTGCCATCTTCGCCTACTGCAACTTCACTTCAGGCGCCTTGGAGATGTCGGCACCCATTGATGTAAGCTCGCCGGGGCCTTTTCAACATCCGTGCTTCCGCTTGACATACAACACATTCCAACGCATCTCCTCGTGCAGGGAGGCAGCGCCTTCTTCCCGTGGAGGTTCCAAACTCCGCAGAATACGCGGACCACCTGCAGCCAGGCGAACTGGAATGCCAGGGGATCGTCAAGTCGTCTGCGAAAGTAGCCTGCTTGCTGCCGCCGAGCAAGGAGACGTCTGCCTTCGCGTGTAAGGAAGCCCTGTTATGTCGCCTTGACACAGAGCCGAAGCACCTCTTCCCACCGATGGAATGACGTTTTGCTTGGAGAGGCGGGAGAGTGTGCCTCAGCCCCGTGAAAACTGGTGGGACTCGGAACTTCAGGGATCTGGGCCGGTGGCAGGGATCGCTTCAGGGCTGTCTCCTGACCAGTTGCGGAATTCACCGCATCTTTCGCATCACGGAATCAAGGATCAACTTTCTCGCATTCTGGCGGGCAGCCTGGAGACGGTGGGGAAGCGTCTTCGATCTCATCGGCCACGAAGGGTGCCTTACCAGCCGCACCATCGCCGATTCCAAACAAGAGGCCCGACACATTCAACTGCAGTGGCTGCAGTCTGCTGCGTCGTCTTGCTGCCGTGTCACCCCCACGGCGCCCGGTGGAAGTTCCTCCGAGTTAGGAACACTCTTGAGCATTTATTGCACTTACACACATTCAAAGCTGGGCGATGCAAAAAAGAACAAGGGAGGAGGAGCAGGAGGGGGAGAGGAGATTGATAGGCAGGCAGTCCTGTGCAGCCTTCTTATTCTCGCAGGGGCTTGAGACCTCCACGGGCCAAGCTATCTGTGAAAACGGAGCCCCACGAAAAGTGAGAAGCCGCGGCCCACGTGCCGGCAACATCTACTGAAAGGGCAGCGAGACCGCTGCCTGTGGTTGATCCAGCAAGGGCGCTTCCTCTGCCTGTGCTTGAAAGAAGCCCATGAGCTCGAAACCCACGGCGCAGCGGTCGTGAGCCTGAACGACGTAGTCGTACTGCACGGGAACGGCCGTCGTCCCTCCAGCAACGTCAGTCGCCACCTCCTACAGCGGTGCCGGGTCCTTTTGGTCTCTGCGTTGCCTGCTTTGCTCCCGGCCTTTGGAGCTTTGTCCCGAACAGACTCCAAGCTGGGAGACCTGCAGAGACTCTCAGGGAGGGGACACAGGCGCCTCTGGCCCTGGGCCCTGCCTCTGCGACGCATCATCCCTGTCTCCGATCAACCCCGGAGGCACCTGTTCGAGTCCAGTTTTGGGCGAGGGCCAGGAGGGTCCTGGCGGCCAGCTGTCCAGCGCCTCGTCATCAATATAGACAGCCCGCTCCTCCTAACAAAGTCCAGCACACACAGTGACCCGACGGAAGCCCCGAGTCCCCGAGGCCCACCTGCTCGGCAGCGACCGCTGAGCTAACCTGGCAGCAAGGTGCGGAGTCTGCAGTCCTGCTGGGCTTAGTCTCTCAGCGCCAGTCTCACCTCTCTTATGGGCTGGGCCACGGCCGCTGTGGCCATGCGCCAGCCTTTCAAAGTCGAAGACAATCCCTTCGTGGCAAAAACGAACAACACAAAACGCTAACCCGCCTTGCAGAACGCAATGAAGGCTCACATGAAGTCGGTAAGTTGTCAACCTACAACCCTACTGTTACTGCTAAAATCAGGCATGACTTATGCAGAATGTAGAACTTGAGTGCAGGTCAGGGACATCGGGCCTGGCAGTAGGACGCCGTTCAAGAAACCGCTAGCATAAGGGTTGACATCTGCAGTTCCACAGGGATGTACACCTGGAGTATGCAAGCCTGACTTTGTTATGGGTTCGTGTCACCCTGAAGGCTCCTTGGGCCTTTGACCATGACAAAAGCTACGAAAGAAAAACACACTTGGGAATTGCGGCACTCTGCACTCTACCTCATGAGCCATGAGATTCTCTTGCAGCATTTTTTGCTCAAGCGCGTCTGCCAACATGTTGCACTCCCGGCAGTGGCTATCGGCCGGTGCTATAGGGGCCGTCTTCACCCCGTGTCACGGCGTGCACTGTTTGGGTCTCATATCTTTGGACTGCAGCTGTCGAACTTTGCTTGGGGATTCGAGCTTGCAGCCTTTGCTTCGGTCGCTTGCCATCTACAGTAGACCACCGCCCGCCACGATCCATGCAGTTCGATGAATTCAACAGCGGGCCCACCTACTCACCAGCCTACAAGCGAACAAGTCAAGCACCGACCTGCACGGCACAGACAGACATGACGGATAGAATTAATGCAAGGAGGAGAGAGAGTTGTTGCCGATGCATTACAAAGGTTGATGGCGCAGTTTAAGCAGCTTATGATCCTCATCACTGCTCCGTCAAGAGCCGCAGAGTAACGAAAAAGACAGCGTGCTTCTCTTGTTGGCTATGAGGCCTGGTACCGAACATCTTGGAAAGTTTGAAGCGCTGGGCTGTTGGAATGTTAGGATGTTGAATTTGGTTGGCGGCTGCTGACCGCATTCGCCTCCCGTTCGCAAGCCTATTGCAGCTTTCCGTCCCGCAACCCAAGACAAGTAGGCCCGAAGCAAAACGGCACTGCAACCACTTAAAATAATTGCGGCGCCCGAAGAAGCGACGTTTCATGACATGGCCGAACGGGGATTGTATTGGGATTGTGGTAGGCCTCCAGTGACAAAGAGCACTTGGCATGTATGTGTATATGTACATATATGTACCGGTTCTGCATGCTCGTACTCTGCAAAAAGAGCAAGCAACTGCACTACCGGAATGTGCCATTCCTTTGTGCTGCAAAAAAAGAACCGCCGCTCACAGCCGTGAGGGGGCGGTTTGCCTTGTTCGGGCCGCCTTTAACAAACAAACAATATTTTCACAGAGACACAAACCAGAGAATGCAGCGAGGGTCCTACAGTAGGGACCCAGTCCTGTTGAAAGAAGGAGCCGATCGCAAAATTTTGGATCCAGTCGAATGGTGCCGGTAGCATCTCTAGTAACAGTACATGCGGCCTCGTGGGCATGAAACATCAATGAACGAGGGGTGGTCTCACCCGATTTCCCAAACACCCCTCTTGCGTGGGGTTTTACCTGGATCTCCAGCGTTCCGGTGGGTGGATCGCCAGTTCTTGCACTGTCCAACTGAGGAATGAGGGAAGGATTTCTTCTGGCTGCTTTCACAACCAACTAAGCTCCTAGCAAGAAGTCGCAGAACTCTTTCTCTTCATGAGATTGCAATTTGCCACATGCTCATGTTGTGTCCAAAGACTCGTTGTCGCAGGCGCACGCTGCAGCGCTGCACAATTTCAATTTGCGGGCGTCAAACATAGAAACCAGCTATCTGAGACATGCTTTCTCCAAAGGCATGGGGTCAAGCCCCAAAAGATCCCGCCTTCCACTAATCAATCTTGATGGAGCCATAAATCCCCTTGACGAACTGGAAAGTGCTCAGGAATCCTGAGGCATCGCTCGGCTGTGAGCCGCTTCTACGAGCAGTCCATGCCACTGACTCAGCCTGTTTCCGAAATGAGATCTCAGTTCCACACCGACTGCGCCACTCACGAGGGCGAAGATGCTCGACATAATGAACATGTACCTAAAGTGGAGACGTGTACTTCAGCGAAAGGATGCGGTCACGTTCGCAGGTGAAGCCCAAGGAGCCCAAAGTACATCAGGATGGAGACCCAATGCCGAATCTGCAGGCGTGAGTTGAAGTACCTTCAAGGCAGTAGCATCAGCGCTGCGACAACCCGAACACGCCGAAGAAGACGATGCCCTTGTGCACACATGATGGAGTAAAGGAAGACGTAGAGTCCGGAGCTGCCGCTTGCTGCAAAGGCGGTCCACCACCAGCGATAGTCCTTCGCACAGGCTGTGACTTTTGTCATCTTCGCACTCGAGGTGCGAAAATCTCCCGCAGCCTCCGAGGTGAGCTGGAAGTATGTCAAAGCTATGGAGATTTCGGCGCAAGTCACCATCACGATGAGGAGCACCAGGGCCAGGAAGCCAAATAAGTAGTAGAACCTAGAATCTGGTGCCCGCAGACCAAGCCGTACTTAGTGGAAAGTTCTGTCTGGCATAGCGGCTCGTGCAGCCATATCGAAGACATGATGAAAAAGAGCTCGGTGAACCTTCAGCAAACCATGTCATGGTTCGTCAGACGTGCCTTTATTGTGCTAGGACTCCGGCACCGCACCGAAGGGAAGGATACCACCCACAAGAGAAGTGGCCAAGGGCTGCATATACCAAGGTCTTGGATTCAGCAGCATCAGAACCAGTAAGAAGTCGATCCGAATGCTGTCTCTCTGCTCCCCTGCTCCCCATCAGCTTCAACTTCAACTCCCCGGGACAAGGCCCACGCTGGTCTGGTATTGCACGTGGAATCTGCACGGATCGCAGGGCTTTTTCTTCAAGGTCGCATGCTTCGGACTTTGCGGAGCCCAGCCTGGTTTGTGCGAACCGGCAGCTCCACTCGATCTCTTTTGAATCCTGGTGCTGCACAAAACATTGCTTTCATTTCTCCGCCGAACCTTTGGACGTCTGCCCTGCATGTCATGATGGCAAACTCTCTGCACCTGTGTAAGCGCCGAAAAATACGAGTGGCACGGAAACTCCAAACCTGATCCACTCAGCATCGGCTTATGCGGGGGTCGGGGACGCATGCCTCTGTCTGGGATCCCGACCACAGCACCAAGATGGCGAACAAGGTGGTGAAAGCCACTGCACCCGAAGACTGCCATGGCAGGCACCAAAGACGGCATACTTCTACCGCAATTCACGGTGCAAAGCACACGCACACCTTCTCGCCCCAAATGCAGAGATTCAAGACGAAGAAAATACCGAAAAACAGGCCTGAGAACAATCATCGATGAGCTGACTGAAGTTCATCGTGGCTTCTGCACCCGCCTGGGAACAAGAAGGCCTGCATAAACGTGGTCATCTTCCAGCGACCTTCATCTCCGTCGAACACCTTTGCATCTTGACTCGCATTCCCTGCACGTGTCTGTACCCCTTTCGCACGGCTCTTGACTGGTGCCTTGCAGAGTCGCGCTGAAGTGTACCCTCCGAGCACTCCCATCAGGGTGAAGAGCAGCATCATGGACTGCAGCAAGCCTCAGAGTTGTTGATGGACGTTGGCTCCGTTGGATGCACTTCGATACTTCCATACTCTCTGAGGCAGGAGCTCCCACGATGTGCAGGTGACAGGAAACCCAGGAGGGCGAAGACAATGGTCACCTCTTCTTCTTCCGATTTCGGGCTTGCAACGCCCTCTCAGTCGCTGAATGTCGAGGACGAGGCCACGGACATGCCCAAGAGCTGCATGCCGGAGCCAGTGACCACGCAAAGGAGGGTGGAGTACTGCGGCTTGCGGAAAACGTCCCCATGCACCAGCTTCCAGCCTGCAATTCAAGACTCGAGGCCAAGGCGATCACTGGTGACCAGGGATTTGGCCTGTCTCTTCTTTGGCCTCTTCCTCTGTGGGCACCTCGGGTGAGTCACAGCTTCAGGCACTTTTGCCCTGCTCTCGACGGAGCCTGATTGTACGTTGCAATATCCCTGTGCAAGGTTCTCAAGAGGATCATGGCAACCATGCCAGACCTGGGACAACACATGGATCCTACCGGCTGCACAAAGAGAATCAGCTCGGAGACGCACAAGAAAAGAAGGATCATAAGCGAGTTCAGAATCGCAAACCAGTGGATCTGTCCTTGTCCTTGCCTGGGTCATTGAAGCTGCTGGGTTTTGTCTCCACAGGGCCACAAGCCAGGTCCCAGCCAGGTCCCAGCTTTAGAAGCGCTGAGGTGCTCGCACTTTCAGGTAGGCATCCCAGCGAGATGCCCATCCTTTCCGGACAGCTCAGCATTGCACGCTCAGATCACACAGATTGAGAACAGCAGATAGAATAGGACACTGGCAAGTCTCTCGCACACACACACACACGGAGAGACAGAATCAATACTGTAAGTTCGGCACTCACTTGACTCTCCGTCCAATGAACGGAATAGCTGAACCTGACTTGCCAGCAGAAGCAATTCTCGCATGTTCGGAGTTTTTACTGGGCATGAGCAAGCCTCCTGACATGGGCACTGCTGGGGCTGAGGTGGAAACACCACATCATCTGACGAATCCAAATCGAATGCGACCGCGCTGGTCGAGCAATCAGGTTCTCCACCCCTCCTGTCATGTGGGGCATGTCTGGGGCATGGGATCATCGACGAACTGTCGCAAGTCCCACTCCACAGACCACCAGTACGGGAGGCAGATCAAGGGTACTTCAGGAAAGCATGCTGTCAAGATTGCAGAAAAGGACACAGAAGCATAATCCAAATGAGCCAGGTGCACGGCGTAGAAGAGCGTGGTTCAACCTGCCGCCAAAATGTCTGAATGCAGATGGAGATAAGCATGTCTCCAATCTGTCATGCCATGCTGGCACTTGCCTGGAAGCCAACGATGCGGAACCCTTCGTACTTTTCCGGGTTCGAGTGATACTCCAAGTCCTCACGAGCCGAGAACGCATGGATCATTTAACATCTCGCATCCAACGAATGCAACTTCGCCAAGAACTGACACAGTCTCGTGTCCATCCCCGGCCCTGTCCAGACTCACGTGATTGTGCAAGTAGTACTTGCCCTTCTGGGCAATGCCCAAGAGGAACCCGTTCATGTACGAATAATCGGAGCCTGATACAAAAAGACAGCATTGAAGTAGCAACTCGTTCGTCGCCCAGAATGTAAACGACATGTTCTTCCCCACGCCTGTCTGACTGTACTTGGTGGCAGCTGGAAGGTTATCAACCATCCAATTGACCAAGTACTCGTCGGCTATCATGTTGCGGAACTTGTCCTGCAGAACTCTCGGACAGCTTTTCGAATTTTGGAGCTTGTTTGTTGCTCTGCTTGCTCTGAAGTTCCAAAATCAGGCCTTCTCCTGCTTGGTCAGTGTCTTTGCACAAAGCTTTTCACAGGTCTTCTCCTCCATGAACTTGATTTTGTAGGCTGATGTCCTTCGTCTCTGATTCAAGTTTCATTAGTCTTCACTGATGGTAATTTGATACTCACTGACAATGCAAAGGGTGTTCTGTTAGCACTGCACCATGTCAGTCGTGTAGTCACATCAACCTCCGAAAACGACACAGCATGACTCAATTCCAAGCCTAGCAGCTCAACTACGTCTCCCATCATCTGCTCACCAAGGTTTTCTGTCGTGGCTTTGACGCCGTCCGTAGGCCTGGCAACAAAAGCGCGCAAAAACTCACTCCAACCAGCGTGAGACTGCTCGGGACAGAACACGAAACGACCTTGTGTCTGAGGCCCAAACGTGCAGAAAGCCAAGGTGTAGTAGCTGTATGGAAGCTGTGTTTTTGCCGAGGTCAATTTGTTTACCTGACATCTCGAAACACCTCGCTTCGCTGCTTGGCTTCTGGCAGAACGACCGACACTTGGCCTTCAGTTCAACTTCTTCTTCGCTTTTGTACTCCTGGCATATTTGCAGAACCGCTGAGAGCATGACTTCCTTCGTCACACGAGCAACCGAGGGAAGCGCGTATGGAGCGAGGCCAGGAAGGTAGAGTGCGAACGCTGCATGGAACAGCGGCAGACCTTGATTGCACGACTCAATGGAATCTCACGTTCCTCGAAAACTTTTGGCGAGGAGGCGACATAATAGTATTCTGCGCATCATTGCCTCGAATGTTTACCACGGATTTGCGCACGTGCACTGCAAAAGGAATAGGACAGGACTGAGAATGCCACAGCACGCAACCGGCTCGACATCTCCAAATCATCCAATTTCAAGCAAGCTCCTAGCCCTGTCAAGAAGCCTGAACACTTGCGACAGACAAACCAGGCGATCAGCTGCACGCGTCGAACATGGATATTTTCACATGCACTGTTGCATAGCGACCCTGAACTGCATGGGAACGATACTCAACTGTGGTCTGTGCAGCGGGAATGGCTCGAACAGTTTGACTTTGGATAGCTTTTAGCTAGAGGTAATATAATGAGCCAGAGCTCAGTTTTGAGCCGGGGAGCACTTGAAAGGTATTAGTACATTGTACGTGTCAACAATCTGCAAAGCAGGACCAAAACACATTGCTCATACATACCTGTTGATTGCGACACCTTACGCCGCATTGGACCTTCCCCACTGCTCACACAAGGAGATAGTCGTGATTGGATGTAAAAGTGTCTTATCAGCCCCAGCTTTGAAAAATGTTTGTATCAAGACTTGATGCTCAATTAGAAACGTTGTGACACTTCACTACGTTGGCGTCTGCCAGAACATCATCATTGATTGTCGTTGTACCTTCGGACTGGATGATGTTCACATTCACGATTCACGATATTCAAACGATTTTCCGCCTTTGCCTTTGTTGATCGAAGAGAGTGGTATGGGGAAGATATGCTGCGCCGGTGCACTTTCTAGGTTCTTGACTGTGATTCCTTCCAGAGTCTCGATTTTTCACTCATAGCGGCCAAACTGCTGCATATTGGAATTGGAGCGGCTATTGCAATTGAAGCTTGCAGTGCCTAGTGCAGGGGCTCAACGGCCAAAAGCGCAAACCCGTGTGTATGCAGCTTCTGTGGAGGCATCCAACATGCGGTGTTGCGTGTCTCTTTCAGACGAGTCAATTTTGGAGTCTGTATCTTTCTTCTTACAATCGCAAAGCACATTTTGTCGGATCTTCCAGGCTGTTTCCGCGTTCAAAGGACTTACTTCGCCCTTCATGGAAACTTACAGTCCCTCAAGAAACAGGACACTCTTTTGCTTTGTGAAACAACTTTGAGCGTATGTGGTTTAAATCAAATTATCCTTTTTCCATTCAACAGTTCAACTTCAACTCAGAACCTCTTGGACTAAAGGCACTCAAACACTTCTTGACTCCCTTAGACGGTCTTCTTTGACGTGGTCTGAGCATCGCGGAACCAGGAATAAAACAGGCAAAGAAGACGTGCTTTTCCAAGACCGCACAATTGGTTGGTGCAGCGTCGCTTCTATTTTTTTTTTCCAGCTCCCTCTGGTCAGCGCAATTTTTTTTTGCCCTGGATCAAGATTTTTTTGAAGTGTTTGACTTTTTTGGCTCCAACCAAAAAGTGAGCTGAGATGTGGCTGGAAAACAGATTTAGTCTGGACAAAGAGAAGCAGGAAAATTTCATGCATTGCTGCATGAAAAGAGCTGCCTGCAGCAAAGTGACCGTTCTAACATTGTGCCACTTCATCATGAGTCTTACTGCAGATTGATTAAACTTGAAAGAAGCCCGCTTTACGATAAAATCAGACGTTTTCTGACTCTTTCAAAGCTTCAGCAAAGTCATTCGGGCTGAGTAAGAACACAGCGCCGGACACCCAAGAAATCGTTTGTGTTGGTCTTTCCGGGGCTGCATCCGAGGACCCTTCGGCGAAGGGGGCTTCGAAGCCTTCGAAGCCTTCGAAGGTGAAGGGTCGAAGGGGGGGGGGGGGGGGGGGGGGGGGGGGGGGGGGGGGGG